CACAACCTTCAGGTCAACATTAAAAAAGCTTTCAAACACCCACTTTGTATTCGGCCTTGCGACGCCTTCAAGCTCAAGGCGGCTTTTTTCCTGGCGGCTAAGCCATTCTTCCGCCTCTTCCAGCCTGTTTATCCAAGGTGAGCCGGTGTTTTTGTAGAACAGAATCACCGTCTCTTCTTCATCTTCAATGTTGCGCAACTGATATGAGAAAACATGCCTCAGGTAAAACGCCGTGCTTACGTTTTCACGTATCTTTGCCATAAAGTTTGTTGTTAGGTCTTTTTCCAGACCTCTGATGAAGCGCCATCGAATGTAACGCCGCCCTTTACTTTCTCCCCCCTCATGCGTTGCATCGTCGAACAGGTCCAGGATCTCGTTCTGGTAGTCTGTCACTGTCCGGATGTTTTGCGCAGGGAAAGGGTCGTACTCCCTCAGAAGCTCTTGATTTTTTTCTCGCCTTTCTTTGCCGGGAAGGGGGTCTTGGCTGGTAAGGTTTTGGATGTAAAGGTTTTTGCAAACGCTTCTGCGCTTCTTGGGAAATAGGTTCATCCAGCACGTTCTGAACAAGCTTTCCTACAGCTGGCGCGTTTTCTGCAAGTAGTTGCTCAAAATATTGCAACGTTATTGGATCGATTTTTGCAAGTTCTTCTTCCAGTCTTTTTTCAAAGTTTTGGTTAACATAAGACATAGTGACTTGTGATATAACGTAAGGTTTCATTTCTCTAATTAGGTTGACATCAGCTCGAGCAAAACAAGTTCAAAAATTTTCTTTGCTTTTTTCCGCTTGCGGTTAAGACGCTGTTTTATCGCGCTTCCGCCGCATGGAATGCAAAGACGGTAATCACACAAAACCCCGACTCCGCGGCCTCTACACGGAGCTGGCATTTTCATTCCTTTCTTCAGTTGATGGTTGTGCTGCCTGCAATAAGTGACGACACAGTTCTTTCCGCAGCTTTCTTTCCGGCCCCGCATCAACCACACACACTTGTTTGTTGCTCGAAGCATCGCAAAGGTTCGGGCGGTATAACAGCGGGCTCGTTTGTTTGTAATTGGTATCCCTCCCCTTCCCTGTTGTTGTAAGTAGTATATAGGGAGTCAAATGAATACTGTTTCAAAGAGGGACGCAGCATTTCCCCGTTTTGCAGCCCCCCGGTTCAACCGAAGCGAGCTTGCGAGCTTCGGAATTAAAGCTGGGGGCTGCAAAACGGGGAAATACTCCTTCCTCTGCGAAACGGTATTCATTTGACTCCCTATATACTACTGGGACTATCTCGTTTCATTCCACAGCTCCTTGGCATGAATTAATAAACACAACAGAAAACCGTTCTTTAATCAGTTGTGTAGACTCTGATCCCTGTTGAAAACAAGAATACCAAAGAAATATTGTCCAATGTGTACAAAAACATTTCACCTAGTTGTATTGAAACCGATATATGCAAGTGAAAAAAATCAAAAACATAAGAACAACAAATGAATTGCTTGAACAACTGGATATATGATTTCATGACCATATTTTCCCTCATAATATAAGAGCTAACTGATCCTTGGATAACCTGTAAAAATCATTGTACTAATTTTCAAGAATCTACACAAAACACGAAAATAATAACAACATCAAAGCAAGCTAAAAATCGTAATGAAAAAAATCTAAGCACAAATCTTTTCCACACTTCTCAAGTTATATATCATACATCCTTGGTTTCTGGTGCATAGAAAATAACTTTTAAGCTAGCGTCTACCTTCGCTTTATTTGACGGCTGGTTTTCCATGACATCAGCAATTCAAGGTTTCATTGCTATGTTATTTGCTATAAAATTCACCAATTTTTAAACTCAAATAGGCCAAAACCTGAAGGGACGCTATGGGACGCTTTCCCAGGAAAGTGTAATATATGAATCGAACATTAAATCAGTGGGATTTTCGGCTTCTAGCTTTCAGCTATTGCATAAGAACATTACAACCCATTACGTTTGTTCGAAAAGACGAAGCCATTTTGGAAGCTAGCACTTAGGCCAAAATTATTCCTGGTTATCCAGCGAATATATCAAAACAAACGGTCCATACAGTAGCCTTAGTCACTTACCTTTTTTTGTGATGTGCTGAACAGTTCATTTGCTGCTACTTTATGGGTAAAAATCACTGAAAAACAACACACTATGCTTCCCTCTGCACTCGAGTTGAGGGAACGTGTCCAGATAGGACGAGGCCTCTCATTGGTCAATAACACCTCCCATACTACATTTCGGACCGTGTCCAACCTCCTCTGATCTCACCCATAGAATTTGAATGATATATAGATTTAGGCCAGCCTAAAAGCGTAGCTCCTGGGCCGGGTTGTTCAAAGTCCGATTAAGCTAGCCCAGAAAAAGGTAGAATTTTGATTTCAGTTTTGTAACTTTGCGATGAGGTTTTCTGTATATTGTTTGGCCTTCTGTTTTGGTCAGCGGTCAACTTCAAAAAAGCACGTGACCTCGAGGAACTGTAAACTTGAGCCCGCGATATAGTCACCCTATACTGGTCAGCGGATGCCTTGTTTTGACAGGTGTCAATTGATCATAACATGGATGTCCGATATCAAGGAAGTACACGATAAACCAAGGCTGCATGTCTATCAACCTATTATTTGAAGTATGGCCGCCATGTTGGGCAACTCTATCGCCGTCGTCGCCGTCGTCGCCGTCGTCGCCGTCGTCGCCTTCGTGCGTACGCGCCCACGAGCAATACCGCTAGCCATGATAACCATGAGAAAATCAACTCATGGGTTTCTTTTTCTTTCCTATATGTGTATGGGGCTCCGCTTGGCGGTCCTTCGGGCCGCCGGAGCTCCGCTGTCATCTACTTCAGCAATTTTCCACTTTTGTCCAGGATTGAACGCAGTGACAAATTTTACGATTTTTCTTTTGAGTTTANTCGGGCCGCCGGAGCTCCGCTGTCATCTACTTCAGCAATTTTCCACTTTTGTCCAGGATTGAACGCAGTGACAAATTTTACGATTTTTCTTTTGAGTTTAAAATTTAACAAATTTTGCGATTTCTCGTCAAACTCTATAAGATTTACAAAAATTCGCTGCCTCGACGATTTTTCGGCACGTTATGGCGAAATTTACAATTTTATGCTAATCCATCAGTAGGCGTCGGCTTGCGGATATTACAAAATTTTAGATTTTTCGCCAACTTCACGATTTTTCGTTAAGTCGTTGCGAAATTTGCGATTTTTTGCACTTCTTTGTAATGCATATTCCACCTCTAGAGCCGGCCGGCTTGCGGATTTTACAAAATTTGCCATTTCTCGCAACTAACATAATACAAAAAGACCGCCAAGGATGAGAAGCATGTTTCTGTTGTCTCTGGAACAATCAAGCGGGATGAAAATATGTCATTACCGCACATGTAGCAAACAACAAAGATAACAAGCTGTATTTTTCTCTCGTTCTTAAAGCGTTTGTTGTTGACCGAGTATCGTAAAGCGGGTTATGGGAAAGTAAGCGGAATGATATGAAATTAACATAACACAAGCAAAACATAACGTGGGATAAGCGCTTCTTGTTGACTGAGTATCTATTCTACCTTCTACAGGCGTACTATGTATTCAAAACGATCTAAAACGCACACAGCGATGTTTAGGCGTACGTGTCCATAGGAAGATCAAGCGGGAGGATAATATTCCACTCCACTGAGCACACCGCTTATTAACCATATTCTAAAACTCTCCTAATCTCCCCTCCAAGCGAGTTTCGGGCGAGGTCACGACAGCAGAATGAAATAAGATTAACGGAAACATTGTTGCGGAAGTAAACGTTTCCCAGTTTAGCCGCGCGAGAAACATATGTTGCGGAAACAAATTTTGCTGCTCGGAAATAAAAAATGTTTTTGCCTGGAGTCAAAAACATTTTTGTTTCCCGGACGCAAATTTTGCGTCCGAAACATATGTTTCCCAATTTAGCCACGATGAAAACAATGTTGATTAGTTTCCAGTG